CGACCAGGACCCCCTGATAGAACCCGGGGACGGGATCTATGCTGCGATCATCCCCTCCGGGTGGGGGCATGACTTAAGGGCGACTACAACGCCCTCCCAGCGAATGGCCCAAGAGGCTCGTGAGCCGGACGCAGAGCCCGCATCGTTCGAGGAGTTAGTGCCAGGTCATTACCAAGACTTCCGGGACATGTTTTCGAAAGAGGCTTTCGACCGACTACCCCCCCGGAAGCCTTGGGACCATGCCATAGACCTGGTGCCGGACGCTAAACTGCCCAGAGGGAAAACTTTCCCCCTCTCACGCCCTGAACAGAAAGAACTAGACGAGTTCTTATGCGAGAATCTGCAGAACGGGCGCATACGGCCGTCCAAGTCTCCGATGGGAGCCCCGGTCTTCTTTGTCAAAAAGAAGGATGGGTTGCTATGGCTGGTCCAAGACTATCGAAAACTGAACGAAATCACGGTAAAGAACTCGTACCCCCTCCCACTCATCTCAGACGTTCTCACCCGCCTCCGCAAGGCCAAGTACTTCTCGGCCCTAGACCTACGCTGGGGGTTCAACAACATCCGGATCAAAGATGGTGACGAGTGGAAGGCAGCGTTCACGACCAACCGGGGGCTATTCGAGCCCATGGTGATGTTCTTTGGCTTGTGCAACTCCCCCGCAACCTTCCAAACGATGATGAACGACATCCTCTGGGACTTCATCGACCGGGAGGTTGTCATCTGTTATATGGATGACATACTCATCTTCACTTCCACCCTGGAGGAACACCGGAAGGTCGTCCAGGAGGTCCTAGAGACGTTGCGGATGCGAAAGCTCTTCCTGAAGCCGGAAAAGTGCAAGTTCGAGCGGACCCGGATCGAGTACCTCAGTCTCGTCATTTCTGAGGGCAGCGTTGCAATGGACCCGGTGAAGGTCCGTGGAGTTCTCGACTGGCCGACCCCAACCAAGGTGAAGGAGGTACAATCTTTCTTAGGGTTCGTGAACTTCTACCGTCGATTCATCAGAGACTTCTCCGAAAAGGCACGACCCCTCCATGCGCTGACCCGGAAGACCAAGGCCTGGAGTTGGGGGCCGGACGAAGACAATGCCTTCCACGCCCTTAAAGAAGCCGTCACCTCTGCCCCCGTCCTTTCCTTCCCCACAGATTCGGGCCCTCTCAGGCTCGAATGTGACGCCTCCAACTTCGCGACCGGTGCGGTCCTCTCCCAGCTCCAGTCGGATGGAGAGTTCCACCTGGTAGCCTTTATGTCCAAGAGCTTTACGGACGTAGAGCGGAACTATGAGGTGTACGACAAGGAAATGCTCGCGATCGTCCGGGCCCTCGAAGAATGGCGGCACTTCCTAGAGGGTGCCGAGGAGAAGGTCGAGGTTTACACTGACCACCGCAACTTGGGGTACTTCCGCACGGCCCAGAGACTTAACTGATGCCAAGCACGCTGGTCCCTCTTCCTCTCCCGCTTCTACTTCACCCTCGTCCATCGCCCAGGGAAGCTCATGGGGAAACCGGACGCGCTCTCCCGCTGTCCTGACCACCCAAAGGGAAGGGATGACAATGAGGGGCTCACACTCCTCCAACCAGCCTGGTTCGAGGCCCGCGCGACGGAGGCAGTCTCAGTAGAGGGCGAGGAGGCAGATATCCTGAGGAGGATAGGAGAAGCGAAGGATCAGGATGAGCGGGTGGTGAAAGCCATGAGAGAACTAGGGGAGGGGATGCTGAGGTCGGACGAGTGGGAGAGACAAGGAGAACTAGTCCTCTACCAGGGAAGGGTGTACGTCCCGAAAGACCTGCAACTCCGCCATGATCTGGTACGGCTCCACCACGACGCGCGGGCGACGGGGCACCCAGGACGATGGAAAACCCTGGAACTCGTCTCCCACGACTACTGGTGGCCTCGGATGGCAGAGTACGTCGGGCGGTACGTACGCGGATGCGACACCTGTAACCGTGTCAAGTCCTTCCCCACACGGAAAGTTGGAAAACTCACCCCAAACAAAGTCCCCACCCATCGCTGGCAGGTGATCTCAGTGGACATGGTGGGAGAGCTCCCAGACTCGAAAGGCTACAATGCCATCCTGGTCGTAGTGGACCGCCTGTCGAAACGTATCCACGCGGTCCCCACTGTGACGTCCGTAGACTCGGCTGGGATCGCCCGGCTCGTCCTGGAGCATGTCTGGAGACATCATGGGCTCCCTGAAGAGATCCTCAGTGACAGGGGAAGCGCCTTCGTCTCGCGCTTCTCAAAAGAACTCGCAGACCTCCTGGGAGTCAAGCTAACCCCTTCCACACCCTACCACCCCCAGACAGACGGACAAACAGAGCGGGTCAACCAAGAGATCGAAGCCTACCTCCGGGTATTCGTCAACCACCGCCAAGATGACTGGGCGGATTGGCTCCCGCTAGCAGAGTTCGCTTACAACAACCAAGTCCACTCCTCCACCCGCCAGACTCCCTTCGAACTCGACACTGGACAGCACCCCAGGATGGGGACAGAGCCCACACGCACATCCGAGGTGGAAGCCGCTGACGCCTTCTCATCTAGGATGATGAAGATGCAAGAGGAGGCGAAAGCAGCACTGGAACATGCAGCGGACGAGATGGCCCGCTACTACGACCGGGGTCGTGAGGCAGCCCCTAAGTACCAAGAGGGCGACCAGGTCTGGCTCAATGCCCAGAACTACACGACAGACCGCCCGACCAAAAAGCTGGACCATAAATGGCTAGGCCCCTTCAAAATCGTCAAAGTTGTCTCCCTGGCCGCTGTCAAGCTCCAGCTTACCGCCCAACAGAAGGGGAAACACCCAGTCGTGTCCGTGACGAACGTAAGGCCCCACCACCCAGACGAAATCCCAGAACGACCCCCTGACCCCTGCCCAGGCCCAGAACTCGTAGATGGAGAAGAGGAATATGAGGTGGAGAAAATATTAAACTCTAAGTGGTTACGCCGGAAACTCTGGTATTTGGTAAAGTTCTCTGGCTGGCCGAACTCCGAAAATGAATGGCTCCCCCGGGACCGGCTGACACACGCCCCTGTCAGGGCACACCCGCCTGACCCGGCCCCACCCGGCCCCACTTCACCCGGTACCCCGCCACCCAGTCCTCCCCTACCTCCTTCCCCCCTTCTTCTTTCTTTCTTCCTCCATTCCACTCTCTCTTTACTTGTCTCACCTTCTCTTTATTTTCTCTTTATTCTACACGGACGACCTTTCCTTGTATCAATGTACCATTGACCCACCTGCAGCACGCTCACGACACGCCCAGCCCGGGCGCCTCGGGTGACCCCCACTATGTCCAGCTCGCGCGCCCACAGCGGACGCCCTCGGGATCCCCCACAGGGACACCCAGGTGACTACGGCTGTATGCGAGGATGACGTGGCACCCGTCATGTGACCTAAGCCGCATGTATATAAACATACCTGAAGTGGGAACCGAAGAAGTAGCCTTCTTCTCACCCTTTTCCACTTCAGGTAAGTAACATAGTATCCCCTTTTAATAATAATAACACCCTTTTCCACTTCAGTCTAAGTGGCCAGGGACTGCCTCCTGAGCCGGGCCCGCCAGTATGCACGCCCGCTCCACACCCCGCGAGGCTTCTAGTGTCGGGCGTCTCACCCGGGCCTCCTCTACCCCGGACGCATCCCTGACAGCCCCCGACCGAATCGAAGAGTTCCACCAGGCGCACCCCCAAGCCCCAGGGAGAGAGAGGGAAAACCCCCTGGCCGCTTCGAGGCGAAGCGGCTTAAGGAGGGGGTGATGTTAGGGCACACCCACCTGACCCGCCTCCACCCAGGCCCACCTCACCCGGTTCCCCCTCTTCCACCCTGCACCCCTCCTTCATACCCCTTCCCCTCTATCCCTCTCCCACTTCCACTCCTATTTCCATTTCTATTTCTATTTCTATTTCTACTTCACACGGACGACCTTTCCCCTATATCCATGTATTATTGACCCACCCGCGACGCACACACGACATGCCTAGCCCCGGACGACCCCGGACGGCTCTAGGGTGCAACCTAGTGCGCGTGCATGCAGCATACACCCTCGGGATCCCCCATGGGGACACCCGGGTGACTGCGGCTGTATGCGGGGTGACGTGGCGGACCTCATGTGACCCAAGCCGCATGTATATAAACACACCTGGGGTGGGAACCGAAGAAGTAACCTTCTTCTCAACATTCCCACTTCAGGTAAGTAGCATAGTTCCCCTTTTAATAACAACTCAACATTCCCACTTCAGTCTAAGTGGCCAGGGATCGCCGTCCCACATCGGGGCTGCCAGTACGCACGCCTGATCCACCCCCCGTGAGGTCCTCAGCACCGGACGCTACGCCCGGACTGCCTCGACTGCGGATGCGACCCTGACAGTGATATACCCGGACGCTCTCGACCCCGGGTCAGTCCCTGACATAGCGGCGTAGCCCCCAGCACTAGCAGCCTGGGCAGCAGCAGAGTGGCAGGAATGTATAGCGAACGGCCCTTACTTGGGCTTGCATCCCTGTCCGGCTTCTTAGGCTGAAGCAGTAGTGATTGTTATTAGGATGAAAGACTAAGCTAAACTAAAGTAAGACACTTGCCTGAAGCAGTAGTGAGAAGAAGGCTGCTTCTTCGGTTCTGCTTCGGCTCGGTTTATATACAGGTGGGAACGGGTCACATGGGGGGTGCCACGTCAGCCCGGGTGGAGCCAGGTTATCGCAGATGGCTCCGTGGGCGGTCCCAGGTGTCAGAGGGGAGAAGTACAAGTGAAGATGCACAGCATATCTGGCAGCACAGTATCCATGCAGGGTACTCAGCGCCGGACATGTCCATGCTACATGGGTAAGGGGAGAGGTCGTCCGTATAAAGAAAGAAAGGAAAGAAAGGAAAGAAGGAAGACAAAGGAGAAAGGGAAAGAGGGGGAAGAAGGAAAGAGGGGCAGCAGGAGGGTGCAGCGCGGAGCAGAGCAGCGTGGCATGCCCTGACACCAGACTATTCAGACAGCCGGTCTCCACCTTACAGTGCATGTCAACATCAACATCAACTTCTGATCCACCCTCAGTGTCTGCAAGTCTTGCCCTCAACAAGAACCTTACTGCCCCACAGCAGACAGACCTTGACACAATACTTTCCTGTATCAAGCATCACTTCTGTTTCTTACTGGCAACCAACTGGCTGTTCCCCAACAAAACAGAAAGGAATCGCCTCCTCAATCTTGCAGCTAGACATGTGGTGTTCAATTTCCCTCCGAATGACCATAAGCTTGTACAAGGGACTCATCTTCTACAAGTAAATTGCCAAATTTGTTGCACTTCATTATATAACTAACAGTTTCAAGATCAGCAAGGACAAGCCATCTGCTTTTCATGACATAATCAAGACTTTTACCAGGAAGTGCATTGACAAAGAGTATGGGTTCCTCCCTGATCCTTGTGAAGGCAATGTGGACCTTGCAACCCACCTCCTGGATGTGACCAACTTCTACTTTCAGGAATGGGAAGATCCCGGTGTAAGCTGCATGATTTGAATGGAGAGCTCTTGCTTAGCACTTGTTAGGGATGATGTGGCCAATATCTTTCGCAATGTTTCCAGGCTGTGTACAGGGATGTTGATTGGGAATCATCATGGGAAGGGCTGACTGAAGACCAGCATAATCAGTTACTCCCTCAACTGATTTGGTTTGCAGCAATGGTGGTGAGTGGCAATGACTAATCACTGGGAGACTACTACATGACATTCAGGTTGAACATATACTCAACCTCCATGCCAGGGGGCACCACAATTTCAGTGCAACAATTTACCATGAAGTCTATGACACCCACATGAATGAGTACTTTGATTGGCTTAATGAGCAACACAATGCTCAGGCATTGTGGAAAAACATATGTGCAGTATATCAACATTTACGAGTGTAAGTTATGTTTTCTTATGTCTGTGTGCCACTAAATTGGTTATTGCACCAGTGCCCCTGCTTATAAAACCTTTCAAACCTCTCGTCCTGTCCGATATGATACCGATGACATGTAAATAAAAAATACTACATGTTATCTTGTTTGTCTATGATTTCTGCTGGTGAAGAATTGAGATGACAGAAATATTGAAATTCAAGATGAACTCAGGGAGCTCATATAGGTAATAGTTCCCTGTGGGCAAATAGACCTCTATGAGTCCTCAGAGCTTTTTGAGCTTTGGCCTCTTTTTGGAGCTCTCAGAGAAGGGGACCTGCAATTTCAAAGTACTGAAGCTCTGAGAGCTCTGAGAGCTCTGAGAGCTCTGAGAGCTCTGAGAGCTCTATGAGCTCTCAGGTGTTAGAATGGGGCGAGGGTGGACGATTCCGGAGGGGAACCGGAGACTTAGCAAGGAGGGACCTTGGCCTCAGCGACTCAAGTGGAGTGCTGTGCCATTGCTGTTTGTCCATTTGGTCCTTAATTTCATAGGGGGCGAGCAGGAAGTCTCTAGGGGGCATTTCAGGTCGATTTTAGACTAAGGCCTAAAATGAGTATGTACAGGCGCCGATATATATAACGAGAGGGCAAAAGCACAAGGAAACAAAGGGGATCCGAATTGGAACAAAGGCATCCGAATGGGAACAAAGGGAAGACCGAAGCAGAGCGGTACCGAAGGTCATAAGGCAGAACCTGTGGTACATCTGAAAGGAGGTAAGGAGGGCAAGGCCCAGAGGGGCAGGAGGATGAGGAGAAGTGGGGATGATGACTAACTGGCTAGAATGGGAAGAAGCAGCAGTCCAAATAGGGATGAGGGGAAAACACGAGAGATACATTACAAGCGGCGAAAGTGCCGAAGGTGATCTGTGGAGCTCGGAGGTTGCGGAGCTTACGGAGGTTGCGGAGGCAGGGTTGAAAGTCCGAGGGATATTGGCAATGGTGTTTGCGTAGTATGAGGTCACCAATGCAATGGACTAAGGCCGAGGTGGAGTCAAAGTCCGAGGTAGGAGCTATGATGGAGGCTCGGAGCAAAGGTACAAGCGGTGTTCAAGTACGAAATATGGGACAGCAGCAGAAGGTCATAACTTGGCGGGGGGTCAACAGAAGAGGGCCAGAGGGAAGAGAGAGGAAGGAGGAAGGAGGTAAGGTGTGGAGGAGAGGAAAGGTGTCAGGTCCGAAGGTGAGTATCGGAGCGGATGGGAGGAGAGTAGGAGGGTGGCGAGAGGAGTGGTGTTCGGTCCGAGGTGAGTGTCAGAGTGGACAGAGATAGGGCAGGAGAGGGATGGAGGAGTGGAGGTGGCATGGGGGGGGGGTGAGAGGAGGTGTGGTGTCAGGACCGAAGGTGAATATCAGAATGGACAGTGGTAGGGTAGGACTCCGGAGGTGGTGAAGGAAGGAGGTCCGGGAGTCGGGTCGGGATCGGATATGCACAGATATGACATCAGGCCTCCACATCCAGGTTTGCTGATGTGGGGTGGTAAAGTTCCACTCTCCCCTGCAGTTGACAATCCAGCCAGTTGTCCTGGGTTGATTTCCCTACCTTTCCCCTTGGCATCAGTGGTCACTGTCGCCATCAACAGGGTAGGTGGCTTAGTTCCACTAAAGATGGGAACAAATTGTCCATCAGGTTCTTGTACCTCGATGGACGGGCATGAATTTGCCACTTCTGTGATGACAGCAGTGGCAGTGGGGATCCCTTCAGGTACTGGGTGTCAGGGGACGACTCCTGGGTCCCCATGACCCTCCCCTATGGTCCACAGCCTGGCCTATGAACAGCCCTGTCCAGGGCAACAACTCTACTGTGGGTAAGAAGATGAATAAGATAAAGGCAAGTAATGTACACTTGCCTACTGTGGGTAAGAAGATGAGAAGGAAGCTAACTTCTCATCTTCCCACAGTGGCCACAATATCAGCAAAACTTCCGGGGATACCCGGAAGTCACATGAAGGGGTAGGAACCGGGTCCGGAGCATGCGGCGCGCGGAGCGTGCGCGCATGCGGGAAGCGCGGCGGGTGGAAGCGGGTCCGGATGCGGGTCCGGGTCCGGGCTAGTCAGGGTGTGTGCCCTGACACTGGGACCCCAATGATTGGCTGACCTGTTTGACTGATGGGGACTACAGCGACCTCTTGGGGCACTTGCACCTCAACAGTGGGTTCTTTTGTCTGTTCAGAGATGACAATGGTGTCACGAACTGTCAGGGCACACCCACCTGACCCGGTTCCACCCGGGCCCACCTGGGCCCACCTCACCCGCTCACCCGCTCACCCGCTCCCCACTACCCATCCTTCCTCCCTCTTCCCCTTTCCTCCCTCTTCCCCTTTCCTCCCTCTTCCCCTTTCCTCCCTCTTCCCCTTTCCTCCCTCTTCCCCTTTCCTCCCTCTTCCCCTTTCCTCCCTCTTCCCCTTTCCTCCCTCTTCCCCTTTCCTCCCTCTTCCCCTTTCCTCCCTCTTCCCCTTTCCTCCCTCTTCCCCTTTCCTCCCTCTTCCCCTTTCCTCCCTCTTCCCCTTTCCTCCCTCTTCCCCTTTCCTCCCTCTTCCCCTTTCCTCCCTCTTCCCCTTTCCTCCCTCTTCCCCTTTCCTCCCTCTTCCCCTTTCCTCCCTCTTCCCCTTTCCTCCCTCTTCCCCTTTCCTCCCTCTTCCCCTTTCCTCCCTCTTCCCTCTTTTCTCTTCCTCCTTTATTTCACTCTCCCTTTCTGTTTATTCTTTCTATTTACACGGACCACCTTCCCTTGTATCATTGTACTGCTGACCCGTCCGGCTCGGACACCCCGGGCGACCTCCCGCTACGCCCAGCACGCGTGGACGCCCTCAGGATCCCCCGCGGGGATACCCGGATGGCTGTGGCCCTCTCCGCAGATGACGTGGCACCTGTCACGTGACCCAAGCCGCATGTACATAAATGTACCTGAAGTGGGAACTGAAGAAGTAACCTTCTTCTCACGTTTTCCACTTCAGGTAAGTAGTGTAGTTCTTCCTTTTAATAACAATTCACGTTTTCCACTTCAGTCTAAGTGGCCAGGGACTATAGTCCCAGATCGGGCCCGTCAGTACGCGCGCCCGCTTCGTCCCCCGAGAGGGTCCCTCTGCCGGGCGCTACAGCCGGGCCCCCTCCACCCCGGACGTGTCCCTGACACGAACCCACCTGGGGAAGATCTGAACGCTACCCAGGCGGGTGTCTCTGATGGAGCTCGATGTTCTGGGTCGTCTGATGGTGGGTTGGAGACAGACCGGAGGTGGGGTGGAGCTCTGAGGGTGACAGGGTGTTGAAGGGACTTGGTGTCAGGGCACACACCCTGACTAGCCCGGACCTGGACCCGCATCCGGACCCGGACCTGCACCCGCTTGTGCACTCTGCCCTGCATGCTCCATGTGCCACATGCTCCGGGCCCGGTTCCCACTCTTCATGTGACTTCCGGGTATCCCCGGAAGTTTTTGCCATATTGGGCCACTGTGGGAAAGTGAGAAGTTAACCTTCTTCTCACTTTCTTACCCACAGTAGCCAAGTGTACCTTACTTGCCTTTCTATCTATTACACTTTCTTACCCACAGTAGGTTGTGCCTTAGGATAGGCTGTTCACACACAGGGCTGTGGGCTATAGAGAGAGGGGTCATGGAGACCCGGGGTCCATCCCCTGACACTTGGCTTCAGTGACTCAGAATGGAGTGCAGCACCCATTACGTCCTCATTGTCCCCAATTTGTCAGGGGAGCTGGCGACAGTGTAGGTGGGATAATCGCCCACACACAGACTCGGCTCGGATACCCGATTCTACAATTAGGAAACCACTTTCATTCATGCGACAACTCGATATGAATTTGGTACCTAAAGATAGTCCTAATTTCTACGATCCCAACGATACCAAAAACGTCCCAATCGGTGGAGATTTGACGGAGTTCCATGTTGGAGAAGTTAGAGGCATGGGAATCTCAAGTGGCAACCCAGAATTCCAGCCTCACTTGTTCCCACAGCATCTAATAAATTGGTAAAAATGCTTATTGGCTGCGTAATAGTTCTATTCGGCTACATTTCCAATTTCGGCTCTTAATTCCGTATATCCGTCGAGAAATCGCTTATTTTCTTATATTTTCATATTTCACCATCATATTTCACTTATTGATTGATTTTCTTTTATTGTTACTGATACTTTTTCGATTATTTCGCCTAATAAGGTACCCAGGTGCCATATGGTACCAATATTTCCCATCTATTCTTTCTAAAAATAATTATTAGATATAATCCTGTACATACTGGATTTTGAAAAGAAGTTCTCCCCTCCCCCAATTTCTCTAAGGTTCTAGGACACACTGAAGTTGGAGTGAGTGTGTGGAATTCCAACAGTAGGAATAAGGGCAGCTGTTTAGCTCACAATGAGTGAGTAGTGGATTGTTAGAACTTGCGGATTCGGACGACTCCAGAGTGGAATCAGAGACTTAGCGTGGAAGGACCTCGGCCTCAGTGACTCAGGCGGAGCGCTGTGCCATTGCTGGTTGTCCTGGGGGTCCCTAATTTCGGATCTAGCAGAGGGGAAGTCTCTTGGGGGAATTCAAGTCGATTTCGGACTGAGGTTACAAGTTACTAGGTACATTGTATATAAGGAGGGGTCCGGAATCAAAAGGAACAAGGGTAGGATGAAAGGAGACAAAGGGAGATGGAAAGAGGAACGACACCGAGGGTCAAGGGTTTGACTCAATGGTGTTTCTCAAAGGAGGAATGAAGGGCCAATGTCATATCCATTCCCGGCCATCAACTTCTGGTCCCTCCGATCCCTCCGGTATAACTCCGCTCCTTCCTCACTAACCTCGGAGCTCCCGCATTCCGCAATCCCCTCGGTACCCCTCGATGGTCACCACCCCCTCATTTCAATTTATTACCTACGCCTCCCTAAGTACGGAGCCCCAAAGACTTCCGGACAGCTCCAACGTCCGCTAGCGCACCCCGCCTCCGCTGGGCAATACACTCGCCTGCCCTGCAGAGCCCACCTTCGGGCCTATCCCTCCTTTCCGTTTCTGGGTTATCGCCTGCCTTTCCGCTAACCCCACGACCCGACTTGTCAGTAATATTCAGTCAGCTAATGTTTAAACCCCGTTAGCTCCGCTCCGTTCGGCTCCGCCAACTGCGGACCCGTCTTCGCTGTAACCATATATATATCCCACTTGTACATAGGTTACACCTCAGTAATAAAATCAACTAGAGTTACCCCCCCTTCGGTTCTGATTGCCAGTCAGTAAGTTAGGGCACGGACGTGTCACTAGGCACAGCGCTCTTGGCAGAAGTCGCTGAGGCCAAAGCCCTCCATCACGGAGACTCTCCCTCATCTCGAATCTGGTCTCTGACAGCCAAGGCCCAAGGAGGAAGGAAGGAGGATGGGAGTGGGGAATGGCCAGCTGACTGAATAGAAAGGAAGCAGCAGCCCAAATAGGAATGAGGGAGTATAGCGGAATTGAATGGAGCAATGCAATAGTTGCAAGGTCCGACATAAGTCCGGAAAGTCCAAACTCGGAAGTTAAACTCCAGAATATTGGCAAACGCAATTAAATGGAATGAGCTAACCAATACAATGGGTATAAGCGGAGGTGGGGTCAAAGTCCGAGGTCGGAGCTAAGACCGGAGGTTCCGGAGTCAGGGGCATAGGTGTTGTGTGCTCGTCTGGGAGGTGTCAAGGTTGAGGTCGGACCCGGAATGTTCCGGAGTCGGACCGAAGGTGGTGTTGGAGCCAGAGGTGGGATAACCTCTTGGGAGTCAGCAAGGAGAAGGTGATGGAAGGGAAGTAGGGCTCCGGAATCAGTTTCGGAGTTCCGGGAGCCCGGAGCGGAGGTTGGGATTGTATGGATATGACATGGATGCTGAGCCCGGACCTTGCAGAAATCCTGGAGAACCCACCATGGAGTTAAGGATCGAGAGTTAAGCAAAGTCTAGTCAAGAAGTAGGAGTTTTGGAGAGTTTGGCCCCATGAGCTTAGTCGGCATAGAGAGCTGCAAGCCCTCTTGCAACAGAGGAACCGAGGCTGCCAGCAGAAGGGGGCCAGAAGCCCCCCCTCACTACTTAATGATGGAGGCATTAGTGAGGGTCAATCGTTCGTCACATGATTTGTTGGGGTTTATACCAAGGCACCTGTAGACATGTCTGTCACTCAGCTCTTGGTTCAGGATGGAGCAGCAGATGAGTAGAACGCGATAGATGTTGTAGGAGTGCATAACGGGTGTGCTCAATTTCATGGAACCTTATGCAGCAAATACATCAAAATTGGGCTCCCACCCTTGTACATTATTAGGAAAAAGGAATTATGGGAGGGAGTAATAAGAAAGAAGAAAGAGGGTTTTCGTACAAACCGAAAGAGCCTTTCCGCAAAGGAATTGGTGGAGAATTGGTGGAGAAATTCAACCTGAAATGTCCTCATGTGCGAAGTCCGTGCACTTGACTGTGACCATGGGAACAAGGTCAAAAGTTGACGGAAGAGGACGATCTTAAATTCATTAAATCCAGAAAAATGCCCAAAGACTCAGTGTTGAATTTCACCCTAATCGGTTCAGTGGTTGTGGAGATATTCTGATTGTCAGGCATGACAGGAGTCACAGGATGATATGAACTGTTTGGATGCTCACATGCGAGCTAGTCTCAATGAAAATACGGGCTAGTCAAATGATATACATGCTGAAGAAGTCATTGGAGGAGTCTTGGAATTATGGCATTTTATTTGGTCCAAGTTTCCCTGTGCACGGATAATCAAGATATGTATACTGCATCTGAGAATTCCCGTTCTCAGTCAAATCTCCACCAAATTTCACAAAATCAGTATCATTAGAAAGCTATGGATAAGGAGAGTCGAATGGAATAAAGGGATGGAGTTTTGACGCAGTGTTTGGAGTGGTATGAGGAAGTTTGTGTTTTTCTTTTCATTTTCTTTTGTTGTTTGAAATTTTATTCTAAGCCAATGACAGCTGAACCTTACCACCATTGTTGGTGGAGGCTCAGCTCAGCCAAACCCATATATTTCGGACTCTTTTCCCCAGTTGTATGTTGCAGTATGGGTATATCTAGGTAGCAATTGAAAATGGAATAGATGATTTCCCCCCCTCCTGCTACTTTTGAAGTCTGTGTACTTGGGTGTTGTGAGCATCAGCAAAAAATTGTTATGCTCCTGAGTGCTCCGGAGTATGGGGAGCACTGGGAGAATCAGGAGGAGATTGGCCGGTCCAGGAACAGCTTGTTTCCTCCGGAGTTGGTCAGGTACTCCAGGGCACTCCCAGGAGGGCATGGAGCATTGCTTTGTGCACAAACATATCCAGTAAATACAATTTAATGCTTCAAAATGTATAGGGGTGAGAAGCTTCTGGGAGCTCCTGGAGCATTTGAAAATGAGAAGGAAAAAAAAGAGGGAAGACTCCCCATGAATACCTCCTACCACAAGACTAACACAACAAGACACTACTTAACATTTAGATCAAATACTATACTATACATCAAGGACACTGAGACTCACCAATACACAGTCAAAATTTATGGCCTGATATATGATTAATCTGGCAACTTAATCACTTTCGGACTTGCAGAATATGGAGGAGGGGGAAATGGGGGAGAATGAGGGGGGAAATGAGGGGGAAATGAGGGGGGAAATGAGGGGGAAATGAGGGGGGAAATGAGGGGGAGAATGAGGGGGAAATGAGGGGGAGAATGAGGGGGAAATGAGGGGGAGAATGAGGGGGGAATATAGAGGGAAATGAGGAAAATTTGAAAAATAGGGACTTCTAAAAAGTTGAAAAAATAATTAGGGAAAAAATCAAAAAAAATTCAGGAACTGTAGTGCCTTTGAAGTGCTTTCAGGATATATAACTATTTGCGAAATTGAGGAAGAAATGATGGAGAAAAATGGAAAATACTTTCGGAGACCCAAGAAATAATGAGAACTGAATTGATGGGAAAGTCTGAAAATTGAATGGGAAAGTGAGGGGAAGCCTTGCAGCATCGTTATTTTCTGCTGTTCTAATTTTTCCTGATTCTTCTTGGTCTCACTCCCAGCTGCTCCTGGATACTCCTGGAAGCTCCTGGGAGGGTCCAGGAGCAGCTAATGGAAAATACTTTCAGGGACCCAAGAAATAATGAGAACTGAATTGATGGGAAAGTCTGAAAATTGAATAGGAAAGTGAGGGGAAGCCTTGTAGCATTGTTATTTTCTGCTGTTGTGATTTTTCCTGATTCTTCTTGGTCTCATTCCCAGCTGCTCCTCAATACTCCTGGAAGCTCCTGAAAGCTCCTGGGAGGGTCCAGGAGCAGCTGGGAGTGAGACCAAGAAGAATCAGGGAAAATCACAACAGCAGAAAATAACAATGCTACAAGGCTTCCCCTCACTTTCCTATTCAATTTTCAGACTTTCCCATCAATTCAGTTCTCATTACTTCTCGGGTCTCCGAAAGTATTTTCCATTTTTCTCCATCATTTCTTCCTCAATTTCGCAAATAATTATATGTCCTGAAAGCACTTTAAAGGCACTATAGTTCCTGAATTTTTTTTGATTTTTTTCCCTAAATTTATTTTTTTCAACTTTTTAGAGACCAAAATTTTCCTCCCACTGCTCCTGGCACATTGCATACTCCTCACCACTCCCAGCCGCTCCTGAACCCCCTCCCAGGAGAACACTATTGGCTCCAGGAGTGCCCAATCTGCTGTTTTGTCTCCCACATGCTCCAGCCACTCCTGATGCTCCGGAGCATAACGGACTTTTGCTGATGAGTGGCCACACAATTGGTAAAGGGCTATTGTGACCTTTAGGGAAATCCACCACGGAAAGAAGATAAGCAAGAGTTACCAGAGTTATATATTTCCCCAAAATCCCCCCCCCTCCTGTTGATTATACAGACCTGTTCTTACCGCAACACCCTTTCAGCCCCCTTTCTCTTTCTTCCCTAGCTTTTGGGGAGTGAGCTGAAGTGCTACCCTCTGTTTTCTGGTCCCATAGCAGATTCCCACTTGCAGCATCAGCAAGAGTACAAAAATCCCGGCTGCCACAGATGAGCAGCAAGCAAAGTTTCCGCGATGCTTAATGATCGCAATTTTGGTTCACATGACCCAATATGTTATTTGACAGTATAGTATGAATTTATTGTTATATTGTTATATAGTATGAGTTGATCGCCGACGCGAATGCCCACCGCCCACGAGCCAAAGAAGATTTTGTTTGCACTGTCTACTATCCTTCACTGCACCATCCCATCAAATGCCATATCCAAAAATACCGAGCCCGAAACCATTCTTTTTGGTGTCATTACCACTTGTGATACCCAGGGACACGATGCTACGCTAGAGCCGACTTATTTTAGAAGTTTGACGCCATATATTGAAATCGTGGACTTGGCTGCAATCTGCGCAGTGGTGGGTCGCATCCAAATTGGCACCGCAAATCCTCAATGGGCGATAGTTGACCGGAGTGGTTCCTGGGCTCGCACCGCTTTCATAGATGACTTACTAACTCCAGATGCTCTCCAACAAGACGAACTCTGATGAGAATCCATTGTGTATGCTTACGATACCTAACTCTAAGTCAAATTCACATCTAGCTTCCGAATTGCAACTTTGTCTGGGTCTACCATAAGATAAAAATCCGGCTTTGTTCCAACTCCAGCGAACCGTGGAACCGGTCTGTAAAAGATCAGGATAAAAATCCCATTCCACTCAGCCCGAAGCAAGCTGAAGGTGGCAGTCCGCGAAGTTACATGATAACCGACAATGTCTTGTTTCCAATAATCGCACAACGGTCAGGACCCTTCGCAAAATCCTGACCTATCACGTTACAATCGCTAGCTTCTCTCAGTGCCTTCCATGGCCCGGGACTATTTCGTCAGGCTGATCGGGCTGAAATTGTCCATTGAGCAGCGGTGATGCAGCTGTTAGAGGCTTCACCGACACATAGACCAGGTTTTGAGGTATGCCGTCAGCCATCAGGTTGTATATTGTGCTGATACACTACATAAGGCTCTTTGGACATCCTCTCAGTCTTCCCTGTGCTCTTACCTGTTGGCCAATGAAGTTCTCAACCACCGTCATTTCCATCGCAATATTGGTTTCCACCACCACAACAGCCCTTGCTGCCTCCGTTCGTACGCCGAAGGGCCCAGTAAAGCCTGACTCGTACATTATGTATGTCCCACACACAGGCATAGCATAATACTGGCCGACTCATTACTTAGTGTGCTGAAATCCGGTGAAAATGTGGAACATCATATCGAGGATATTGGTCGGATATCCGCCCGAAGCCCTGGGTCAAAATTTTTACCCACCTACCGGTATGAAAGTAAGTTGATATTGGGGAATTTCCCCCCGAAGATAGGCTAACTTTCGTAGTCCTGAATGGCTACTCCGCACACGCAACTGGAGCAACCCTTACTCACATTCTCAGTTGCCCCGAAGTTGACTACATCGAAGCTGACGACATAACATCCATTTGCGATGACCTCCATGAAGCAAATGAGGGGGGTGCGACAGAATTCAACGATGTCCCAGCCGAAATGAGGGATGACCAGCCAGGTCACCTCGACGGATTTGGAGTGGATATTTTTTCGTTAGATACGGGTATCAAGATTGATGCACCCTACTTTGAGGGAAATGCATTTTTGGGTACTGTGCGTATCTCTTGCGCAATCTGTCATATAAGTTCACTCATGCCAGTTTGCGGGTGCAGCCCTTTGGTTACCCCAACAGCTGGGATGATAACGGTCATGGCACAGCGATTGCCGCGAGAGTAGTGGGGAATGGGTTTGGCATGGCGACTGCGGCCAATATTGTTGCGGTTAAGGTTTTCAACTTTCAGGGCACGGGATTTGCGACCGACCTAATCGCAGGCATCATCTGGGCTTCCGTACAATTTCAATTGAATGGTCGTCATTCCATCCTTTTGGTAGCCTGCAACTTCTATCTCAATTCGGCCGTTGATGCAGCTGTCAGTGCTGTCATCTCCCTTGGTTTGCACGTTGTAGTCGCTGCAGGGGACCATGCGGAGGATGCAGTGATGTGGAGTCCTGCATCCGTTGTTCAAGCTATCACCATTGGCGCTATCGATTGTTCAAACAAGATGGCATGGTTCTCCAACCACGGATTTCTCGTCGATGCTTTCGCCCCGGGGGTTGAGATTGCATGTCCTTCGATCCACAGCCCGGACCCGTGGGCGACCACGTTTCACACCGGCACTGGCATGTCAGCCGCGTACGTCACGGGTCAGTTAGCCATTGCTTTAGGTCACAAACCTAATCCGGTGTCTCCTACCGAGCTAAGCGCTGCCCTAACGGGCCATGCTGTCGGAGACGTTACGGAGCAGCCAGAGGGAACTACGAAGTTGAGGACACAACTTTGGTGGCAGTGGTAGTTCTGATTCTATTGGAGTAGAACAGTGTTGCATGCATGACCTGCTTCACAGTCTTTCCCCTTTACTTCGCTCGCTTCTTGTACTCAGTCAATTATGTGTTTGCTGTTAATTTCATTTGGCCCAAATTCCTGCTACTCTGTTCCAGGTCCTGCAAACTTTTCGGTCTCCATCACTGAGCAACTTTTTCCACTTATACCGGACAATAAGGGTGCCAAAGTTCATGGTGAACTGGTTCAAACCGTGAACCGAACCCTCCATTCGGAACTAGTTTTTTGGTTCAGGTTTCTAACTCTGTGAAGTGGGTTCTAACCGAACCTAGGACTCATAGCAGATTGGGTGGGATCAAATTCGGATCAGAGTGGTGGGGCCCAACTGGGTACCCATTTTGTGTTGCTAAGCCTACCAGAATGGCTGCGCCGCCCTGACCTTTGCTTGTGATGGGGATTTTTACATAGTCAAATCACCTTGCTCAGCTGGGGGCGGGGCTCGATTGGGTACCCCTGCTGGCCCCCCATTACATGTTTCTGTGATTCCACTGTCACGTTTCATCAAATTTCCTTTCAGCTTAAGGTCATAGTTATAACGGGTCACGCGTAGTTTGCTGCGCATTTGCCAATACACTCTGGGCCACTTTGGCCGTCTCCCGCTACAACCCTAGTACCTGATTAGCTCTGTTGGAAACTGTGCTTTCCAGATGTGGATTACTTAGATTGGAAATCAATATTGATATATTAACAGTCACCCCCAAATCCCCGTTATTTCCTGCCCAGTAAGTCGACCCCAATCCGCTGGCGGACAGAGCGAATATCCGATATGGGAAATGTCGCGGAAATCGCATTGTCCCCGTGTAATCCCCGCTTTTTCCTGCCCGGAATTTCTGGCTTAAACGCAGTGATTCAGGATCGTACAACACCACAATTGGCTACATCGCTCAATGGTCTATATTCCACTCTCTCTAAACTTTGGATGGCATTCCGAGGCGCTCCCTTTTATTGAAGGAAGCGCGAAACTCGCGCCAGTTAGTTGCTGCACGTTCATCCGGATTCATATACACCAGGTTTGGCTGCATCGTCCACGGTCCAGCTATCTATCCAGTGCTCTTTCCACACTCGGCCGGCACTCTGGAGCGCTTCCAAATTTGTTGAAAAAATGTCAACCTCTACCGTCAGCTAGTTGCAATCCATCCGGGGTCGTCTTTGGGTGTGTCACTCACAAATCGATACTTGGACGGCTCTCCGAGGCTTTCATTCATTGAGGAATGCATCAGACTTAGGCGCCAGCTAGTCTCTGTTCATCCAGGGTCATACATACTAGATTCGACTGCATCGCTCGATAAGCTGTCTTCACCCTTGACACACTCGGACGGCTCTCCGAAGCGCTCTCGTTTATTGAATGGGTCAAGCTCCGGCGCGAGCTTGTTACAGTCCGACGCTCCGAAGCGCTCTCATTTAAGTTGTCAAACTCCGGCGCCAGCTAGCCACAGTTCATCCAGGATCACACACACGATATTTGGTTATCTCACTCATCAAACTCTCTGGCGCCCTCTCCAAACTTGGACGGCACACAGAAGCACGTTCGTTGGAGACAGCGTCAGCCAGTCGCCGCTTGTCTGGCATCATATACAGACGATTGAGGAAAGCGTCGAGCTCTGGCGCCAACTTGTTGTACTTGGTCTTGAGTTGTATACACCGAAACTGGCACGATCCCTCTACAACTTACACTCCGCTCTCTCCGATCTCGAATGGGATTCCGAGGCACTCCCGTATATTGAAGAGTGCGTCGGACTTTATCGCCAGCTGGATGCTGCTCGTCCGGGATCATTATATTTGGACATATCACTTGACGGTCTACGCGACACCCTGTCCAATCTCGGACGCGATTCCAAAGCATCGATGGTCGGTCGTTGAACGACCCAGGTTATACATTATGTTATCAGCCTTCTTCCTTTGTGCGCATGTGGCAGGCAAGAACCCGATGGTTGGTTCGAAACGAAAGAATTGATGGAAGAGGTGTATGGTTAGGCATCCGGCGTCGATTTTTCTTCCAGAACGGACGATTCCAATGTTTAAAAGCTCGAATATTGGGATCGTTCACGTCGCGTCCTTAAATCACTCGGCCGCCTCATAGGCCTCCTATCAACCAAGTCGAGACGCGACCCTATCTCGGACTTTGGAAACGATCTTCGATCAGTATTCGTAAACACAGCGTAGATTTTCTTACCGGAACTTCAAACCTTTGGTTCAATTGCCAGGTGAGCGCGCATCACGACTCTTGTATCGCATAACCCTGCAACTACTTTTTCATTCTAGTGCTTACCTGACTTTTACTCTCAGTTGGAACCTCGGACAACCAGGGTTAGGTGGAACAAAGCGGTTACATTCCATTATTATGTATAAGGGCCACCGAATCTTGTATGGGTATCCGAAGAAGTGCGCATCGTAAATACACCTTAATTAGAGCACCATCCCATCCCTCCCTCATCAATAAGGGGCTCGCTGAGAAAGCGTTATTTGGTTCGAATGGATGTTGTATGTAGAGACGACGTTATGGAGAAACACATCCCCACTAGGGAAAAGGTAAAAAAAAAAAGAGTTGATCTGAGCAGTTTTGTTCTAGTGAGTGAGGACCTACAGGACGAACGTGTTTCCAGGACCTCCATCCTTGAATACCCCACGTTGAAAAGTTTCTTTTCATTGGTGTGCTTAACGCCAGTAGGAACCACATACCTGAGTACCAGATATACAAATATCCTCGCCGTTCCCATCCTTTGATCCAGTGGGAACAACCTGGTCCCTTGCATCAATGCTGAAAGCCTTGCTCCCGATTTTTACCGAGAACTCTGGAACTTTTGCGTTGCAATGGACATAATATACCCCGTCGCTAGCCACGTACGTAGCCGGTGGGGAGAATTTGGAGTTGTATGCCCTTGCGATATGGGTGGGGAGGAAGTTGAGTGTAGTCCCCGTATCAAGAATCGTAGCGTTGGAGCTGGTCTTAAGGGCAGATGAACCCGGGAAGATGTACGAGTCGATCTCGACCGTCCAGAAGAAATACTTGGGCGTTCCTTGGGTATCAACTAAAACAGGAACCGTAACGGTGGGATAGGTTGTGGGGACTGGAACGTAACCACCGAATCCCAAGTATCCCAATTTCGGATCATAGGTGGGACTTGACCTGGCGGAAAATGTGCCGCGGTTAAGTGCGATAGAGAAGTCTAAAAATCGTCGATTTCCCATCAGCACGCGCAAGACATGAACAATTGTAACATCATTACTACGACGGAGGCCCGACAACCGATACTTACAAGGATGAGGAACCGCACTTTGTTTGACGGCCGAGAAGAATAACGGGTCATAAATGACCTGATCCCCAGTCTTCCTATCGTGGACGCTAGTGAGGCCTGGATATGCAAGGCCCATAAGACCTGTGTTGATTCCGTCGCCGTGCCACGATGCATGCGTGACAAGACCAATCTCCTGATGCGTCACGGTCATCCCGCCAACCGACACAGTATCGTATCCAACATTGCCAACCATAAAACCACCATCACTATATGAAATGTTGAAATCGACGTCGGCATACGGCTCGAACGTAGAAGACTTGGACGGGTCAAATCCTTCGCTACCAAATCCGCATTCAGACGGAGATTGGGACTCTCCACCGCTCGTCATGTTGAAGCATTTGAAGCCTTTCGTGGCAACCCAAGTGTCGGAACTTTTTTTTAAAACAAAAAAAGAAAAACAATGAACACAGATTTGCTCCTTCGGGAACTGCGCGTGCTAAGTGGACTTGCCTTCCAGTGTCAACGATAAGGGAGAAATTCTGACCTCCAATAGTGACGTTCGCTAGGTACTCCTGATCGAGACTGGATCCAGCTAAGCTGGTCGTCCAAAAATGGTCCGGTAAATTGCCGCAGATTCCCTCAACAAGCTGTTTCTTATACATAGACCGAGGCTGAGAGACTAGGGGAAGCAATTTGCTTGCGGGAGGAATGATGGAGTCCAGGGAAGCACTAGGAGATGATGCACGGACAAGCTCCGAGTCGGTTGGGCTCGCAGCGACAAATGTGGCGAGGAGCAAGACGGTGAGCAAAACCATCGTTGCGGGAGGCGGGATCGCTAGTACTAGGCGTGCTAACCATTGGAGAGGTGGGGGACTGTTTTTGTAGTCCTCCACAGCAAGGACTGGTAGGGTGGGTGCCAAGCAGAACGCGCCAACATCCCACAGGCTCAGGGTCAAGGGAAAGGCGTCAGCATCAATATGGCACCGAGTGGAGCCATGGCTGAGATGTAAATGATGTAATGATGTGTCAATCTGTCTGACGAGCGACCGTGGGAAGTTCGATCCTTTGGTGGAACCGCCTGTAGCTTTCGCTGGAAGGTGGGGTATCCCCGGGGAAGAGGTATTTGCTAGAGTCTGGGTTTCTTGTTTGGTTTGCGTTGGGGCCGCTTCCCGAGACTCCACCGCGGTTTACTTACGCACTAATTCGGGACGTCCCGTGAGTGTGGCTTTTAGCCAGTTCTCAGGGAGGTCTGCACTTCCGCTCAGTAGGTTTTGAGCACTAATTTTTCCGGGAGGGCTTTGGTGCCGTAGGAAGACTGGACTTGATGGGGCTTTGATCAATCCTATCATTACATCCTTGCATTTCGGACACTCTCGGTATTGGAAACGTAGCGTAGGACGCTCGGTTCGTGATTCGTGGACTTTCTTTGATGACCTACCTGTCACGAACCTATAAAAAGGCAATTCAACTCGGCAAGGTGAGCAGTTGCAGCGCTCATCGATGCCTCGACTTCAAACAACCTTTGGGACTGCAGCTCTTTATTGCTAGTGATGTCGTCGTGCAACTTTGAGGGAGTCTTCTGCGGAATTACATTGTCATCGGGGGTTGCGCAATTGAGGGCTCGGAGATACAACTCAGAAGCTGTCCAGGATGCTCCTCTCTCCTCTTTAATGGGCTCGTTCTTCCAACTGGCGTTGACGAAACACGCTTCTACTTTCCATGTCAATAATTTGATAAATGTCTCGGTTACACTTAGCCGCTCCGAAGGATTTCGCCACTTTGCCCATTGTCGCGAAAGAACTACCCCCCTTCACGCGTATCTCTCATAACAAATCCTAAACGATGAAAGCTTACTGGCAAGCTTCAAAGATCTGTCTGAGGATGATGCTGTCCACATTTTCATGCGTTTCGACTGGCACACCGGGTTTAACGAAGAATCTTTTGCTCAAAAGCCCCGATCAGAAGTTGGCGCAACGCCCACTCCCTGGTGGTCCCGTTGCTTTAGAGACACTGAGGATCTTTGCTGGCCGATTTCACCTCAGAACTAGGAGCCAGAGATAGACAGGATCGCAGCGGAAAGAGTCTTTAAAACCCGAGATATCATTAATAAGATTCTACCTGAGACCAAGCTAGCTCAAAACGAGTGGGTATTTCTCGCATATATTTTGAGTGTTGCTACGATGTTGAAGGCCCATTTTTGGGTGGTGATCGCTCAAGACATCTACACGAAGATCATGTTGCACTGGCTCCACATACATCAAACTCCCCTGCTAGAGTTGAAGTCGGACGCCTGGATCAGGATCCTTGCCTTTCCTAGCGATTTGTTGGTCCTTCCAGCAGGTATTTACCACCGCTTTACACCGGATGAAAGCAATGCTATCAAAGCATTGTGCCTTTTCAAGGTGAGAGAGAAGCCGGGGTTAACGTTTTTCAGGACTCGCGTCCTCGTCCTCGTCCTCGTCCCACGCACGGCCCATGGTCACTATACGATCACTTTGCCTTCAAATGGTTCAATGACCCGTGCAGTTCTCAGTAAAATGTTTCGCGGGGGGTCAGTGTTTCATGTACATGCTGTGGTCTGAGCTCAGGTACGATCGATGAACCAGTGACATTTAAGCATGGCCAATAGTTACGTTCCGGAAAGTTAGGTCAGTCAGGAGAGGGGATCGAAAATCGCACCATGAATATCTTGTATTAGCTATGGATTTGGCCCTGGAATTATATGCATGATTACTGCAACAATTATGACGGTGGAAACAAAGCCCTGATCATGAAAAACCCCTTATGTAAATAGCCGAATATAAAATCACCTCCCTCACCCCTCTCTCTCTCTCCCTCACACTCTTTCCCCCTTCGCACTTCCTACATCCTCAGCACTAGAATCTCGTCATCACCGCCATCCCCAGTTACAACGCGATACCCAGGCATACGTAGAACAGTTCTCGATTTCCGCGCAGCTGAGATTTCCTGAGGCGATTTGGACGACGACGCACGTTCCAGTCTTTTCTTCTTATCTGATGGAGCTGATGGAGACGTTGGAGAGAGGTCCGTTGTTGGTTGTGGTGGTGGTGGTGGAAGGTCTTTGGAACGCCGTTTGTGGGATTTTTCCTTTTTTGAGGTCTCGGCTTCTTCGAGGGGCGATAGAGAAAGGGGTCTGGAAGTAGAGGATTTCTCTCCAGGATGAGTTGAAGTTGAACGACGTCGAGGGACTGCGTGGATTGATGCATTCTTAACAGGAATTTTTATCCTTTCTGGTGAGGATTTCGGAGCATCTGCGCAAGGGGTGGAGGAGGAGCGTCTATGACTAGCCTTTGAGGGCTTTTTTGGTGTCTCCATTGGTTTTTGGGGGGATGATGATGATGATGGAAGTGCAGCAGGAGTATCAGGAACGGGCTCGCCGTCATGTTCGTGTTCACGCTCCCGCTCCCGCTCCGTAGCTTTGGGTAAAGATTTAGTGCGCATAGATGGAGGGGAGACAGTACCGATGGGCAAGGATGCGGTGTAACGTTGACGAGCAATGTCAAACGTTTCTTTGGAGATACGTGCGGACCAATTGGATTGGATGTTGTCTAGCCATGAAAAGACCTCGACGCACGTACTGAACCCCTTGACCCTATCCTCGTAACCCCAAAGTGCATATCGTCGCGAGACCCAGACGACCCACTCTATGTACTCCCTCGCCGAGGTCAACCATTGCAAATAGTCGTTATGGCTGATCGCGTTTCGGAGATTGTTCGCTTGCGTCCTAACAGCACGAACCACATCCCTGAGTTCCTCGTCGCGCGAAACGGAGACATAGTACTGGGGCCGACGTGGAAGGATTTCTTTCAAAGGGAGGTCTCGGCCATCAAGCCAATAAACCATTTCTTTTTTTTTAAGCGCCAAAAAGGATGAACTGAGTTTACATAAGTATTCAAATTCCCACAATCATAAGCTTCTCTTGCCACCCTTGAAAGGGCTCGGCTCGATCCCCGAGCTCGGGTTGCCAATTGAAGCACCTCTCGCGCTTTTATTCATAGGGTCCAACACGCTTTTCCTCAGCATCGAACCTAGTTTATGTAAAATTGAAGTTGTTCCCTCGAGTGTCGCAACGCTGGACGACGGTCGTCCAAGTCATGACAGGGCCATGAACTCCCCTCTTCGAGCCACTCATCTGTGTTTGGTGTCAATGACGTATGATCAGTCATATGTGAGAATTTTTGTGCGTCCTCTCACACCAGTATTATCTTATCTTCCGTCATGAACGTCCAAACGCTACTGCGTGGAGTGTGATCCGTCCATGCTCAGGTTCTTGTTATTTGGGATAGAATATCAGAGGAAGGGAAATTATTGGAGGAGCGCGCGCACGCGTGAAAGAACCGGGGCTTGATCATACGTCGATTGATTCGTTACTTCAAGAGGTAGGCGATGCATATACAACTCTCAGTTTGCAAGTAATAGTTTCTACAATCATTCTGGCAGCACAAAAGCTCATTTATTGACATCCTGAACGTATTTGACCCCGAAGGGATTGATATCTGTGTCCTCAAATCGGTCCACTTTGGTTCATCCTATCGTTATTAATCTCAGCAGTCGTCATACACGTCCATCGCAAAAATCCTTCCGAGCCTCCGAGTCCAGGGTGAGAAATAGAGTTTTATTCCGAAACCAGCCAGATCCAAAGACTCCTTGCCCTGGGGGTGAACCGTTGTCAGGTTTGTTGATATCTTAGCTAGACCCAATCGATTTGGTCGGGATTTTGCCGTAACTGCCTGCACGCCATGTAGTTCACAGGTACCCAATGAAATCTCGACAAGCGTTCGCCCTCCAGAGTTCAATGTCCAGTATAGGGTTATGCCAGCATTGAGTGCAGTGTTGTGCGGACCTGGTCCCAAATAGTCCCGAAGACTGAAGTCCGTGAGTCCGACTCAATGGTCTCAAGTCTCTCTCACAAGTCGGACTTTTCGGCGGGAAATCCCGATATTCAGAGCGGTCTGACCGATTCCTTGCAGGATAAATTTTGTTTATTATAGATTTTATGTTGCAATGACTGTCTGCTGGCATACAAGCAACACAATATAACTAAGAGTGTAAGAGTGATTCCACTTCAGCTTGAGTTACCCACATTTGCGACTTCACCCCCTGATTCACCACGTTTCATGTTGTGGGATTTTCGAAAATTTCCGAGCACAATCCCGTGCATTTCTGCCTCCCATCCTTTGCTTAACATCGGTGTCCCGAGTCCTATGTGGGAGCATTTCTATCACCTTGACAGGCTTTATGGAAATAATAAAAGCCACCGAGTCGCAAAATGCAAGGGATGTGTAGCTTGGCATGCAAGGACACTGGAGGCAGCGGATTCTGAGGCCATCTCAACTGGAGATGCTGCACAGAGATGCTCAGCAGGTGAACTACATGAAGCTGGTATGCATAATCCCATTAATTTGATTCAAGAAGTGCTCATCAACCAAAAAATTTAAGCTCTTACACTCTCATCCGATATTCAAGGCACGGTAGAAAAGTTGGCATGTCATCTTGTAAAATGTGCACATGCTTCCCAAGATGGGTGTGCTGGAGGACAGGCATGGCTAAACTGACATTCAACAACTCCACTCCCTCATGTGCATATAACACCTGCCAACAATCCATCATCAACTCAGAGCCACGCTTCTCTATCTGCAACATTGTCCCTCCAGCCCATATTCCCCATCGGTGAAGCACCTCACCAACAACTCCTACCTTCCAAATGAAGAACAAGTAGCACTTGAGGAACAATTACTTCGTGCTATCATGTCTGCTGGATGGTCCTTCCTTTGTGTTGAGAATCTGGAGGTTGTCAAGTTATTTTCAATGTTGAACCCGGCCTTGAGACTTCCAAATCAGAACAAACTTTCAGGACAGATTCTAAACACGGAGTTTGACCAACGACATGAGGAGTTGACTTGGTTAATGAAGGGGGCATATTGTCATATCCGTACATACCCGATCCCGATCTGACTCCCGGACCTCCATCTTCACCACCTCCGGAGTCCTACCCTACTGCCATCCATTCTGATATTCACCTTCAGACCTGACACTACTCCTCCTCTCACCCCTCATGCCACCTCCACCCTTCCATCCTTCTGCTATCCTATCTCCGTCTGCTCTGATACTCACCTCAGACCGAACACCACACCTCTCGCCACCCTCCTCCTCTTACTCCTCACAACACCCCCACCCTTCCATCATTCTCCTACCCTTCCCCCCTCTGCTCCAATACTCACCTTTGGACCTGACACCCTTCCCCTCCACTCCTCTCTTCCCTCTCTTCCCTCTGACCCTCTTGTGCCGACCCTCTGCCTAGTTACGACCTTCTGCCACTGTCCCATACCCTGTACTCGTGTCAGGGGACGTCTCATGGGTCCCCGTGACCCCCCCCCCATGGCCCACAACCTAAAGGGACACAGCCCTGTCCAGGGCACACTGCTGCTGTGGGTAAGAAGGTGAGAAGGAAGCTAACTTCTCACCTTCCCACAGTGGCCCAATATAATTGAAAACTTCCGGAGATATCCAGAAGTCACATGAGGCCCGAGACCCGGGGCCCAGGGCATCCAGCCGCATGGAGCGTCTGGCACAGGGCACGTGTGGGAGGTGCAACGGTGAAGGAGCGGAGCTGGATCACCTTATGTAACCAGTTTCCTACATCCAATAACGATATTAGAGTTTGTGCTGATTTGCGTACTGACTGTGTTTTGGTTGCCAAATATATGATTGTTCACTGTCTAAACAACAATAACCACCCCCCAACGATCTCACCTGACGTATAGATCGTCTACAGATAAAATTTTATATTGACTTTACTATGATTTCTAGTCAATATTACACCTAGATATACCACTTTTCAGTAGGACGTGATTTTCCTGATAATTTACTGAAGGAAAACTACTAATAAAATAATTCCGCAATAAATGTTACTCAATACAGGAGTGACCAAACTGCTCTTTCTATCGCTTAGAGTGTGTGCTAGTTATCTAGCAGGTTCAGGATCACTCACTTTTCTCCTGTGGTGTGATAACCAAATATTGCTGAGAGATTATTCAATTAAGAAGTCCCTCCATCAAATTCTCACTAATTCTCACTATGACACTTTTGTTCAGCTGTGTCTAACTGACCCTAACTCACGCTTAGAGTGACGTGTTAGTTTTATATTAGCTAACAACTAATATTTGCTTTTATCTTTTGGAGCAAATGAACCAACCACTGGTGAGGAGAATTAAACTTTTATTTCTACCTAAGGTTTGAGAGGGGGCAGAAGCGGCGGCCTTTTATGCTTTTAAGAGGCCTCTCTACTCCCACGCCTCGCACTAGTTACATGTGCTACATTTGTATTATAGATAGTTCTAGAATGATATAGGGGCTTGGGCTGTGTAAGCTTAATAATGGACTTAGGACATGACTCAGCAATAAGTAATTCATTTCTTTGTCTTTTGGGCCGATCTTAGCGGGATCTTGGAGCGCTGAAGCTATGCTCTACACCGCCTTAATTACGAACGGTTATCTTTAGAAATGACTCAGCTATAAAGGAACTTTCTAGACTGTTCTCTAATTGACCCCTTTTTGTGAAGCTGCATCATTACTAATGTTCTAGAGCCTTCCCAATTAATTAACCGATCTGCGGACTTCTGAATCACTTCATGCTTATGATCCGAGATCCAGATCATCAATCATTCCTTTGTTCCGATTTATTTGAGCTTAAAATCAAAAGGTTTTGATGAATCATG